CACACTCACACACCCCCCCACACACTCCCCCCCCACACACACACGCACTCACACCCACACCCCACACACCCCATCCCCCACACTCACCCACACACACACACACATGGCCAGCATGTGGCATGTTTTTTAAGGCCCAGGATTCAAACCAAGGCCGGCCATGTGGGGTCTGACTCCTTTAGGGGCATGGGAGCCCCTAAATTTACCATTTTAACTTTTTTATCCACCCCACCCCCAAGGTCTCCCAAATAGCCCAGGTTGACCTAGAACTCACAACCCTCCTGCCTCGGCCTCCCAGGGAGCCGGGGATCATGAACACCCATCACCACCCTTAGCCATCTGTAAGTGTGAATTCTGTGGTGGTGAGTTCATTCGTGATGTTGTGCAACCATGACCATCAGAACCTGGCTGTTACCGTGCGCTGAGCTTCTGGTCTCCCTCAAATGACACTCCACACCCGTTAGACAATATCCACTCCTCAGAAGCTGGGCTCTCCTAGTCACTTTCCTCAGCAATCTACGTGGCTTCATTCCATACCCTCCCCGGAACGAGCAGAGCCGTCCGTCTCCCGCCCTCCCCCGGAGCTCAGGGAGGGCAGGGAGCTTACCTGCTGGACCTGGTCAGGGAGGCCCCGACTCCCGAGTCCCTTCTCTCCGGGATGTCTGTGAGCTCCTCTGCTTCGTTCAGGGAGTGGCCCGTGCTGTCAAGGTCACTGGGCGTGGCTCGGCCATTGTCCACGTCCAGGTGGATCTGTTTGGGAGAGGATGGACAGGGGGAGAGCGAGTCCAGGGCCGAGTCGGAGTCTCCCTCGTCTGAAAACTTTTCTGACCACTGGTTGACTATCCGCTGCATCCCCTTCACGTGGTAGAGGATGTCGTCCAGCTCTGGGAAGATGTCCTCATTCTCCAGGTCGGCCAGGTCACCCGAACTGGAGTAGAGGATGGAGCCCGGCACGTTGTCGTAGATGCTCAGGCGGCTGCTCACGGAGCTGGAGGAGTTGCGTCTCTTAAGCTCCTTGGGGAGGTCGCTGCTGTTTTCCCTCCTTAGGCTGATGTGGCCAGGGCCATGGAAACTTCCAGTCCTCCAGTTTACAGAGCTGTTACTCCCTGACGGAGAGAAACTGCCACTGGAGAGGGCCTTGGGGAAAGTGCCCGGCTTGTGATCTTCAGGGATGTAGAACACGGTGTCCTCCGGGTAGCTCTCGCGGTTCCTGAAGTTCTGCTCCACCACGCTGTTAAACGTCGACTGGTTGAAGGGGTCGAAGCCTTCCAAATACATGCCCACCCGCTTGCTGCAGGCACTGAGGCTCCGGGTCCTGGTGACCGGACTGGGCGTGCTGACAGCGCTGCTGGTCTCCGACTGGCTGCTGCTACTGCTGGTCTGTGTGGAGTTGGAGACGCTCCTCTTGCGTACCATGGGGACGTTGATGTGGTTGCCGTTGAGCGTGGAGATCTCCACGCAGTTCAGCTGCCTGAGCTTCTCCTCGTCCACGCCCTCCTGCAGGATGGGCCCGCTGATGATCAGCCCCAGCTTCGAGGGCGCTTTGTGCTTGCCGTGGTGGGGGCCCTTGAGCTTCAGGCTCTCCATCCGTTTCAGCAAACTGCGCGTCTTGGACTTGGCATTTTTCTCATGGCCTTTCATGCTAAAGCTGAAGCTGGACAGTTCCTTGGGAGAGGGCAGGCTGCAGAAAGAGTCCTCATTGCCAGTGAAGTTGCCAGAGGAGCAGACGCTGATGACCGAGTGGGTCCGGGGGGTGGCGGTGTCCCCGCCGTGGGGCGCTTGGCTGGGGAGGCTGCCCGTGCTGCCGAGGCTCTGCACGGAAGACACCTCCTGGCGCTCGCTGAGATCCGTCAGCATGCTCTCGTGGCTGGCGGCGCTCTGGAGCTGGGAACCATCTGGGGACCCAGGCACTGGGTCCTGCTTTGGAGAAAAGACATCAAACTCTTCCAGCCGGGACCACCTCTTGCTGTCCCTCTGGAAAGTCCACTTGCCACTTATTGCACACGGCTCATCGTCATCCGAGTCCTCACTCTGCAGAGACAGAACGGAGCTATTAGTTCATGGCATGGGCAGACGGCAGGGGACAGGAGGGCCAGGGCAGTGCTGAGGCCGGATACCAGAGACTGCTCTTCACAGCAGCCAGTGTAGACGCCTCATTTCTTACCCACTTCCCTTCTTTTAAATAACAAAGACGCAGGGCAAGAATTGAACAGGAAAAGCCTGACCAAGTGTTGCAAGCTAAATAAGAGAGTCACTTTATAGAAACTCAGGGATCTATAGGCTGCTCTTTAATTGCTCATGGAGGAAACCTCTGAGATTGGTGAAAATTCCAGGCATGCCAAGTATTTTCAGCTGGAGTCAGTACTGGGTGGGACTCGGTCTGGATTGCCTCCAGTGTTGCTGTCTGTTGGCTGTGACTGTTTATTTTCCCTTTTGCAATTAAAAAGTTTTCGCAACTAAGCAGAGTGGTAACCTAAATTTCCAGCCACCGTAAACCGTCCACGGACTCCTACTATACCAGTGGAGACCTCCCTTCCAGGAGACAGTGCAGCCTCTCACCTGCTCTGGCCCTCCCCTCTCCAGCAGAGCGTGGTCTGGTGCTTGTGCCAGAACCACTCTGTGAAGTCTCACCTCAGACACGCTCCAGGCACCCTGACAAGGTTCACAAGTACCCAGCCCGGCGGCACTCGGCATTTTTTTTTCAGAGCTGTGTCTGCTGACCACGCCTGGACTACGTGCGGGACGCGGGGGCACGCGGTCACATGGACTACTGCACCCCGGCCTTTCAGGCAGGACAGCCAAGGCTCAGCTTGGTCTGATACACGTCTTCTCCACTAGTGTGGAAAACATCGGGCGACCCACGTTTCACAGGCTCATCAGCAGAAAGCACCACACACGGATTCGCAGGCTCTTCTACACAGCTCAGTGGGCACTGAGGTTCCAGCTTATTTGCTTAAAAGGTTTAACTCCCTGTGAGGGTAACTTTGTGAAGGTCAGGGACTCCACGGTAATTACGCTTCGTATTCGACAGTAAGAAATAACGTTCTTCGACCAAACTGATTCCCGTTGACTCTAATTTGTGGCCCGCACTCCCAGGACTCCACCATCCTCTACTCCTAGACCTCGTAAGGGTCATCAACAGAAGGGACAGCGCACAACGGTTACATGCACCGCCTCACCACACGCATGGGAGTCCCCGCCCTCCGCCGTCTGCCCCTCGGTCCTTTCCTCCCTCCAAATTTCTCCCACTGTCCCCTTGCCTTTCCTCTCTGCAATTGTGAAACATAGTTACTGTTATTTTCAGGAAGGCAGAGGAGTTCCCAAAGAGCTTTCACGTTCATTGCTCTCAGGAGCAATGCAAAACCGACTGGGAGTCTTTTAGCTTCAGACCTTCCTATTGGAGCTGTTTACGCATAATAATAAATTATTTGTCCAGGTCAAAAACAGTAGGTTAAAGAATTTATGGGCAGGCTGCAACTACTTAAGGCTATAGTCTTCCATAGACAAGACAGGACTATAACCTTGGAACGTGTGGATGCTGGGCCCAGCAGGTGGCACGATGGGTCAAGTGCTGGATCCCCATATGGGCAACACAGTTCAAGTCCCAGACCTAGTGGCTTGCTTTCTCACTTCTCTCTCTCTCTCTCATCTCTCTCTAGCAAGCTCACATGCCCTGTAACAAATTAAAATAATAATAAAAAAATAAAAAAAAATAGTGTAGAAAGTATCAGAACAAGAAAACAGCACGCCGAGAAACAAAACCTATCACAAAATACATAGTCCAGCTTTGGGTTGCCCACTCCCCCACCTTATTATACACTTATATACTCACTCTCTTCCGTTTTTTTCTTCCGATGGGGGATAATTTCTAGCTTCATCACTGCATATTTGTTTAAAGTATTGAGACGCCTACAAAATGAAAAAAAATAATGTTAGCTAAGACAGGAAACCACTGATAGGTGGACAGTATTTTCCTGGAAACAACTGACATATTTAATGGGTTTCTTTGAACTCATTAATATCTGTAATTAAGAGAGTCGAGTTGGTTCCATGGCACAGTGTTCATGTGCTGCTCAAGAAAAGCCACACCTGGGATTAGCAGATGGCATAATGGCTATGGCACTGGACTCCCATGTAGCCGACCGCAGTTCATCCAGTCCCGGACCCGGTGGCTTAAACTCATGCCGGGCACATGTGCATGCGTGCCCAAGATCCCGAGAGGAGAATGGAGGAGAAGGGATTGGGGCATGGCCATCGCCCCTGGGGGGTGATTTCTCGCTTTCTGTCTCTCTGTCTCTCTGGTGAGGGCACATGCCCTATAGCAAAAACCTCTCCAAAAAAAAGAAAAGCCACACTCCACATAGTGACTGTGGGTTAAAGCCACCTGCTCGGTGGGGACAAATGGCCCAAGCATGGAAGTGCCCACGATGCTTCAGGCTGGAGGACTCGAGGGAGGGGATCACAAGACCAGACCCTGGAGGGTGCTCTTCTCTGTTGCTCTCACATGCGTGCACACAGCGCTGTCATGAATACAGAATGCGTATGTAGTTTGGATGAGTATCAGAACCTTACAAGTGAGTGATCTAAACATGTCTTCATATTTGGCCAGTAAATGGTGTGGAGGTTAAGGCGGTGGATCCCACATGGCAGGCTGTGTGGTATGAGTTCTGGACATGGTGAGTTAAAAATCATGCCAGACGCATGCGGTGTGTGCATGCCCAAAATCCTGAGACGAGCCTGGAAGAGATGGGATGGTAGCATGACCATCCCCCCCAGGGGTGATTTCTCATTTTCTCTCTCTCTCTGCAAGCCCTACAGCAAAAACAAAACAAAACAAATCTTTTATACTATTAAAAATTTAACTTTTAGGGGCGGTCCCTGTATGATGGTTGAAGTAGCTGGATCAGACACGGCTAACTGTGTGGTCTGAACCCGGGACCGGCAGCTTGAAGACATGTGAGACACTGAGTGTGTGTATGTGTCCCCAAAATCCAGGGAGGAGAGTGGAGGAGGGGCGGTGGCACGGTCAACCTCTGAGGCTGCTCTCTCTCATTCTCTCTCTCTCTCTGACTCTCGCTGACCTGTAGCAAATGAAAATAAATAAATACATTTTGCTTTCACTACTTTATACTAAAATGGCACGATCCACTCGCAATGCCAGGTGCCTCTAATTGTTCACACAAGCCTAGGTAAGGATGGATTTCCTCCAGTGACGCCTAGGTCAAGCTGAGGCAGCGCCACACGACACCATGAAACACAGGCCGTGGTGGCTCCCTCCACAGAAATAGGGACGGCCACAAGGAGCCGAGCAGCGCTGTCGGCAAAATCGACCGTGCATTCCACCTCAGCTCACAACTCGAGTGAAAACGACAGACTCCGATGGTCGCTGGCAAGTACTAGCCTTGGACAGTCTGCGAAATGTCAGCGTCCAGGAGGGAATGTGAGCCCGTGGACTGACGGGTGGCCAGAGCGTGTGTCTGTGCAGACAGGAGGAAGCAGTCCCCAGGAAATGTCACACGGCAGTGCCTTGTCCTCCACTTCTCCTTCCTTTGGGGATTTTGGGCACACACGCCCAGCGTGTTCCTCAAGCCACTGGGTCTGTATGGTTGGGCATGTGGGATCCTGAACCACCGTGCCATAAAGCCAGCCCTGAACCCTCCATAATACCCAATTCATTTCATAACTTCCGGTACGGGACAGAGGACTGCTTGGTACAGGCATAGCAATAGGAAAAGGATTATTTTAAAGAATTGTGCACTGTAACTTCGAGACCTTACTGAATTCAAAAATAAGTACTTAGATTATATTCTTCCTCTGTTTTTAAAAATAAAGATGTTTGCTATAGGGAGTGTGCACTCGCCGGAGAGGCAGAGAGAAATCACCCCCGGAGGGGTGGCAATGCCACAATCGCTTCTCCTCCAGCCTCATCTCAGGTCTGTGTGCACGCATGCACATGTGTGGATTTTAAGTCGCCAGGTCCAGGACTTGAACCGCGGTTGACTACGTGGGAGCCCAGCGACGTAATCATGACGTCACCTGCTGGTCCCAGATCAGATCTTCTTCTTTGGGAAAGGGCTCATAGTTTAGCTTTGAATACCTTTTCACCCCTGAAGAAGAGTAGTGTCAATTTAAAATTAGGAAAATAATTTAGTTTCATTGAAAATAAGACACTTTAAAAGAAAAAAAAAAAAAAACCCAACATGTCATGGGGAAATAACGAAATAGCTGAAAAAGAAACTTCAAGTATGCTGGACTAAACCGGTCTGCCAAAGGCCGCCATTGCGGCTCCAGCTCGTCCTAACATCTTCTATTGATAAATGATCGCAGTTCAGTCTTCCTCCAGGGAGCCTTCGATGTGTCTGCTATCTCCTATCTGGGCCCTCCTCAGCAGTTCCCCAGTTTTCCCTATAATTGTGCTTCTTATCTTTTCATAAGGTAAGAGCATTTCATTCACACAAATTCAAACTGACCAGGAGTCCTCCTCTGTCCTTATCATCCGGATCCTCCTCTTGCAACTTGTCTAACAGCTCTGATGCACCAAGACTGGAGGTATTTCTGCCTGCCTGATAGGCCTGCTTTGATTTCGCGGCTATTGTGGTAGCCTGTTTATAGAATAAACAAGCATGCTCTAGAGTGCCTATGTCCAGAAAGATTCTGTTAACAGAGAGGGCAAGAAAGCCAGCGACAGAAAAGTCTGTGGGCTTTAGAGAGGGTGGATATGAACTGTCAAGGAGGCGTCCACTACTTAATGCCTCATACCTACAAAGTGTGTTAGCTCTCAAATGTTTTCAAGACTTAAACAGCCAGAAATGATTACAGTTGGTCTTAGGTCTGAGCTTCATTAATCAAACCTATAACCAAATACCCACTTGACTTCATTTGGGCTTGAAGGCTGAGTGGAGTTTCCATCGATAACTAAATTTATTAACCATAGAAGCCTATGGGGTAGCGGATGGATTTGCTTTACAAAGTCTGGACTTTAGTTACTCCAGAGGCTAGATTTATGAAGGTCAGCGTTACCTTTCATGTTGGTAGCACTGAGAGAATGGCATTACAATCACAACTGAAGCCTGGAGTTACCCCCTGGGATTCGTCCCCCCCCCCCCCCCCCTTCTCTGGGGGCTTTTTTTCTCCTCTCTCCTAC